AGGCAAGCTTCAGAGTCTTCACAGAGGACCCCTGTGAGCAGCTGCCTCAAGCTCCCGCTGCCTTCCCTGCCACAGTGGACTGGACTCTCAGATCATGAATCCAGATAAACCCTTCCCACTTTAAATTTCTTTAAACTAAAAAAAAAAAAAAAAAGTGTGTGTGTGCACAAGCACGCATGCGAGAGTGCGCGCGTGCGTGCGTACACGGCCAAAGAGGTCAAAAGACATTAGGTCCTCTGGAGTTAGCTTGGTTGCAAGCCCTGTGGTGTGAAAGGGAGGAACTGAATTTATGTTTTCTGGAAGAACAGCAAGTCCTCTCTAAGCCACTGAGCCATCAGGCCTTTAAGCTGCTTCTTGTCAGTACTGGGTCACAGCCACAGGGTATCTAATACAAGGGCCGTTTGTAAACCAGGGTACTTTTCCTGGAATTCAGGTGCAGATACAAACTAACTTTGCCAGTTCTGAGCACTGTCAGCAGTAAAGAAGCCAAAGAAATACATTCTCTCAGGCATCTTGAAAACCTCTTTGTCTCCAGCTACCGAGGCAGATGAGGCCCAGAAACAACCAATTATATACGCATGAACTCTCAGCTAAACTTTTTAAAACACAGGCTGCTTCCCATTTATCCATTGCTCGATTGGGTGTCCTGTGCCTTTAATTGCTAAATCTGAAAATGGATCTCAAATTATTTCCACAGGGGCTTAAGAGATGGTTGCTCTTCCAGGGGACCTGATTTCCACTCCCAGTACCCAAATGACAGCTCACAACTGTGATTTTTTTTTGTTTTTTCTTTTTTTTTTAAAGATTTATTTATTTATTATATATGAATACACTATAGCTGTCTTCAGACACACCAGAAGAGGGCATCAGATCTCATTACAGATGGTTGTGAGCCACCATGTGGTTGCTGGGATTTGAACTCAGGACCTCTGGAAGTGCAGTCAGTGCTCTTAACCACTGAGCCATCTCTCCAGCCCTGTTTTTTTGTTTTTTTGAGACAGGGTTTCTCTGTGTAGTCCTGGCTGTCCTGGAACTCACTCTGGTCTCAAACTCAGAAATCCGCCTGCCTCTGCCTTCCAAGTGCTGGGATTAAAGGCGTGCGCCACCACCGCCCAGCCACAACTGTGATTCTAGTGCCAGGGGATCTGATACCTTCACACAGACAGACAGACATTCAGGCAGAACACCAATCAATGCACATGAAAAAAAAAGTCATTTAAAAATGTCCTCTTGGTCGGGCAGTGGTGGCGCACACCTTCAATCCCAGCACTTGGGAGGCAGAGGCAGGAGATTTCTGAGTTCGAGGCCAGCCTGGTCTACAGAGTGAGTTCCAGGACAGCCAGGGCTCGAAACCCTGTCTCGAAAAACAAAACAAAACAAAACAACAACAAAAAAGTCCCCTATAACACATCTCCCCTTTACTGAAAGCCCTACCCTCTGCTACCTGTTCTGCCCCACAAAAGCCTCCAGGCCTCCAGCTCTCTCCACCCTCTGAACCCTGTACCCCTTTCTCAAAACTTCTTATGTAAGCCAGGGAGTGACTGATATTCCTCTTCGGAAAGTGCTTTCTGTTTTGTTTTGAGATAAGGTCTCCTGTCCCCGGACTGGCCTAGAACTTTCTGGGTGAAGGAGGATGACTTTGAACTCCCGATCTTCTTGCCCTTACCTCCTAAGTGCTGGGATTCTAGGCTTGAGCCACCACGCCTGGCTTTATGGGGCGAGGCAAAGCGTACTGCTGGATCTGTGTGTAGGGGGTGGGGGTGGGGAGGATGAGGGGCCGGGACAGGACATAGGGCCTTATGTATCCAGAGCTAGTGCTCTGCCGCTGAGAGATGCGGGGTCCGCTGCCTTGCTTTTGCTTCCCTGGCAAACCTCACCCTTCAGTAACCATCCTTCCGTCTTATCTCACTCCCCTTTTGAGATAACTGCAAAGGAGCGAAACCGAGATTGAGATTAGGCACTACAGGCCTCCCACCCAGAACTACAGCAAAATGAAGATTGGAGCTTAAAAAGAAGATGGCAGAGTCTTTCATAATTCAGTTAAATAAGCTAAGTAGGCTGGTACCTTCCACAGAGCCACGCCCAGGTGGGCGGACCCTAGCCACACGGACCTCCGGAGCTCCCTCTACCTTTTCTGGTAAATAGCTACTTTCTCAGGCCCTGAAGAACCGCCCTTCTTCCTACCAGGATACAGTTAGGCATAGCTAATCTATAATCTTGTCTACACCAGAAAATGTCACTCTGGGGACAGGACTGTATTTCTTATGAGAAGCCACTTGGTCTAGCCAGAGGGACAGTCACATCACATCCGGTAAGCCTGCCAAGCTGTGGTTTGGGCTGAGGTAGGCTATCTTTGGTTCAGGATCTCAGAGACAACAGGATGAAAAGCAACCAGGAGAGGGTTTAGGGCAGTACGGTTGATCCACCGTTTTCTAGAACTGTCCAGACAGAAGCTAACAACGTGACTATCCCGTGAGGGAAAAGAAATGAAATGTTACAGCTAATTCTCCCCGTTGAACAAAGGAAAAGTCTCTCCTTACTCTTCTCTGTCCCACTGTCTTTTACAAGTGGGATAAGCCTCTTCGGTGTTGAACGAGGCCTCTTCTAGGTTCCCCACAGTGTTCCCCAGAACCCCGGAGGCCCCACAATTGACACCATCCAGGAAACTATCTCCTGGGAGAACGAATAGCTCAGCCTCAGTGTCCACGTGTCTGTCTCCACATACTGAACGGGCCAATCTGTTGAGCAGGCCACACACCCTGCCTCTGTGATGTGCTGGAATCACATTTGTCCCATACACAGGAGACTGACCCCTGCCCTATTCCTCTGGCAGCTGCCTATGGCGCTCCTTGTGATTTTGGCTTCTGCAGCAAGAAGACTCACTCCTCTTTGACCTTTGTGGAGTGGTTTTTTGGATCGGGAAGAGATTTTTTTTCGTTAGTTCTACTGCTCCATGGGACTCTGGTTTTATTCAGCAAGCCACAGGCCTTCAGATGGCCAGCAGTGACATCAATAGAAACCAGAAGCCCAGGAGGCCACCTTGTATCATGTAGAAGCCCAGGTGAGCAGCCAGTGCTGGGCAGTCCTTCTGTCATGAACATCCACCGGGCTGGAGAGATGGCTCAACAGTTAAGACACTATTGCAGCTGGGGTGGGGTTTGCACCCACCTTCAATTCCAGCACCCAGTAGAAGCAGGTGAATCTCTGAGCTTCAAGGCAGCCTGGTCTACACAGTGAGCAGTGAGTTCCAGGACAGCCAAAGCTACTCAGAGAAACCCTGTCATGAAAACCAGAAAAAGCTAGATGTGGTGATGTGTACCTTTAATCCCAGCACTCAAGAGGTAGAGACAGACAGATCTCTGTGAGCTGGAGACCAGCCTGGTCTACAAAGTGAGTCTAGGACAACCAGGGCTGGTTACATTGAGACACCCAGTAACAAACAAACAAACAAACAAACAAACAAACAAGGAGCATTTGTTGCTCTTGGAGAGGACTGGGGTTCAGCTCCCAGCACCTACATGGCGACTCACAACTGGATATAAGTCCAATTCTGGGGACCTAACGCCCTCTCCTGGCCGCCACAGGTTCCTGCATGCACAGGATATAGATAGATGCAGGCAAAATCCTCAAAAAAAAATAGGTAAATCCAAAAGCCAGGGCATCCACATGTGTATAGCAAGGCGAGTGAGTTCTCTGGAGGACTTATGTGTCGGCCCTCAGTGAGAGTGGCTGGCTGTGGGAAACAGGCTCGCCCTCATTCTGAGCAAGGCTGGGTGAAAAGGAACTAGGGAAAAATTGCATTTTGATAAGGTCTCAAGGGGATCTTTGTCCTTTTAGCCACATGTCAGGGCTTTGGAACCAATACAGAGTTTTAAGCAAAATAGTGACTTTATGTTGGTTGAAACCAGGCTTATGATACCTGGCACCTGCTCGGATACATGCCTTCTTTCTGGGAAGAGGTTGGCAGGTTGTAGAGGTTCCCAAGGAAACCAGTCACCTACTGACCAGACCATACGGGCACTGTGAGCCAGGACTCTCTTGTAGTTAGAGAGTGAGGATCTAGCCTTGAGAGTGCCCCTTAAATCAGACACAATACCATACATTTCTGCATTAGGTTCTTAGGACCGTGACCCTTGCATACAAGATTGTCACAACACTTTTTGTTATTTAAAAATTTTTTCTTTACTTTGCATTTGTATGGGTGCGTGCAGGAGTATGCCCGTGGAGACCACAAGAGGGCGTTGGATCCCCTATAGCTGGAGTGTGTGTTGGCAACTTAACCCAGGTCTGCTAGAAGAGTACCAAGTACTCTGAGCCACTGAGCTATCTCCAGTTCCACTCACAGAATTTTAACACAAATTATCTTAGTGGGCTTCTACACTTCTGAGGAAAGAAAATGGGGAAGGACAGGTCATATAATGTGATTATCCTGGAATAAGGTTCTGCGTCTGGGTCAGGAGGAAGTGTGGGAAGGCTTAGCAAGGGGGTCAAAGGCTGCCTAGCCAAGGGACAAATAAAGCAGCCAACAGGACAATGAGGAGACTGAGGATGCCGGGTAGCTCTCTGCCCGCTGCTATCGCAGGTGGTGGGTATTAACCACTTAACAGCCTAACCCAGAAGCCAGCACAGCAGATGGTGAAGTCTGGAGTCCTAAGGATGGTGGACCTGGGAAAGGGTGGTGGTCAGAAAGGGCTTCATCCAAGCCTGCCAGAGAGAATGTCAGCCAGCAAGGACAAGGGAAGTCAGAATGGGTCTATCATCCTTCCTTGGAAACAGAAAGGGGACCTGAACACCATGTTGGAAATTAAGGTTTTACTTCAGTTTGACTCTCTCAGATTGCTTGCCTTCTTTACCCCAACTAACTTTCAAACGGGTGAAGGATTCTGGTACAAAGATAGGACATTCACGGGAAGGGCTTCTTGTAACTAGGCAACCAGAAGGCAACTACAGTTTAAGCACAAGTTCAGACTTGAAAAAGGAGGATCCACAGGGGTGGGGGTGGAGCTTGAGGGTGGAGCCTAGCTTAACATGCTCGAGGCCCAGGTTCAAACCTATCACTAAGACAGATACAAAGAGTCAAGAGTCTGCCTTCCACTCAGCTGCTTTGCCCGGGGTGGCTGATGGCGGCTGCATCCTGTCCGCATTGCGTAACCATTACATAATTCTCCCAGCTGACAGTCTGGGGACAAATGACCTTCCCATGACTTACACACAGGCAAGGACGGAGTCATTTTCTGCTGTAGCGGCATAATTGATCTGGAAACAAAAGCCAGAACAAATAGTTGTTCTATGTGAACCCAGACAGGCTTCTACTTGTAAAGATTATACGAGAATGTTCTTCTGTAGTCTTCCTGTTAGCAGTTCAAACAGCGACTTAAACGAAACAAACACATCCACTCTTTGTTGAAAAGCCAAGTCCTAAGGGCTTCCCACCCAGGAGCAGCTGAGGCAGGGATAGGAACGGGCAAGGTAACTCCGGGCAGGCACGCTTGGGCGAGCTGGGTTTGGAGGTACAGGTTTATAATCCCAGCTACCCCTGGAGGCCCTGGCAGACCTCACAAATCCAAGGCCTGTAAATCTAGACTACAGAGTGATGAGTTGGAGGCCCAGCTGTTATAATGTATCAAGTATGTCTCAAAATAAACAGTAAAACTGAGGGCTTGGGGGTATAGCTCAGTGGAGGAATACCAGCCTTAGGCTCAAACCTTAGCACAATGGGTACATAGACACACACATGCACACGCACAGGCACACGCACACGCATGCACTGATTCTATGGTGGGGGCAGCAGGCTTCTATATGGTGGACGGACAAGGCTTTACGTGGACTCGACTCTTTACCTGTCAGTGTATTCCACTTTCCTTATCCAGTGGGCACATGCATCAGCGTAAGAAGGCTTCTCATGTAAGCTACATCAGGAAGGGTAAGCTTTCCTACCTCCTCCAAAGAAGAAAACACGGACAAATTTTAGCACAAAGCTAAAGCCTCCCACTTCCCAGGCTGTTGGCCTTAGGAGACTGGCCCAGCACCCCCAAAGCCTCTCTGACCTCCTCTCTGCACTTCCTGCCTCTCTCCACTTACTCTCTGACCTTAGGTTTTGCTAAAGGTTACGTCTCTGGCATTTCCTGGTTTTCTTACCTAGGACTGAAAACAACAGTCTCCATCTCAGGACAGCCTAGCTGTCTTCCCCACACCTTCTCTGATGTATTTCCTGTCTTCCCCCAGGGATCAGAATTTCCCAGAGTGCATCTGTAGCCGGATGAGGACAGCAGTTAGTGCTCAATTAATCTTCACCGGGACCCATCAGAAAGTTCAACTAAATGTGCTTGATCCAATCAGAAGGGCGTTAAGCAGGCTCAGAGGACCACACTTCTGAAATCCTGGCTTTTCCTTTCCATTCAACACCGGTTTTCAAGGACATGTCAACCAGTAATCTAAGCTCACTGGCTCTGTCTCGTCTGTACTTTTCTGCACTAAGTAGAGCTGTTTTTGCCTTGGATGCTTAAAACCCAGCAGTTTTCAACCTTCCTAACACTACGACCTTTGAACACAGTTCCTTATGCTGTGGTGATCGCCATTCATAAAATTATTTTTTGTTGCTACTTCATAACTGTAATTTTGCTATTATGAATCATAATATAATTTTTGGAGACACAGGTTTGCCAAAAGGGTTGCAACACACAGCTTGAGAACGGATGCTGAACCCTTGCAGCTCAGGGAATCCACCCACAGGTTGGTACGTACGACATTCTGAGGAGCTCTGAGGAGCGTCTCTGCATGGAGAGGCAAATTAGAACATGCCCTTGCCCCCAACTGCACAAGCCCAGACTGGGGTCAGCTGCTCCAGGACATAGCACAACTGGGACCGACTGACGGATTCCTAAGCAAGTGCCCTGCCCTGCAGCTGCACCTCCTGCATAGCTTTCTGGTGAGAGAAGTCTTGGCTTCAAACACAAACAGATCCAACCCCTTGTAGTACTGGCCGTTGCAAAAGAGCGCCTGGTGTGGGATCGCGCCCTCTAGTGGACAAAAAGAGAAGCCAACAATCCCACCTCACAAGCCCTCCAGCATTTAAGGACTTCTTTTTGCATGTCTCAGAGGTATTTTTCCTCAGGTGTTGTCCACCTTGCTTTTGAGACATGTTCTCTCACTAGCCTGGAACTCACCAAGTAGGTTAGACCAGGGGCCAGCGAGCCCGAGGCTCTGCCTGTCTCTGTCACTTCTGGGTTGGGATTAAACACAAGCTACCACATCCAGATTCTTACTTGGGTTCTGGGGATCAGAGGTCCTTGGTTTGTCCTTGCTTCACGAGGCAAGCACTTTACCAACTGAGCTCTCTCTCTGGCACTAAGGTTTTCCTGACCACTAATTTCATGGGGCTGTTCTAATCCTCATGTAATCCAGGGAGGCAGAGGGCCAGGCCTGTCCAGGACATGCCAAGGCCATGTCTTAAGCTTGCCTGTGTTGTCTGGGGTCAACTAGTCAGTGCCTATGATGTGTAGGCACACAGGGTCAGAGCATCTGTGGAGTGGATCGAAGAGAGCAGGGGTTGGCTGGGAACTCTTGTAGCCACACGCAATATCCTGGGCTTCAGTGGGATCTGTATTTCCCCGAGTGCCAAAGGCGGCCAGCGGGCTAGAAGCCTACTGCTGTGCGGTCAATAAAGATGTCAGCTGAGGGAAGGGGATGGATGTAGAAGCAACCTGGAGGGTTTGGTGCCACAGCTCAGGCCACCCTGCCCTGTGACCAACTCTTCATCTGTCCTTTCCCTGCTCTGGGCAAACATCTGCCTCAGAAGTCCCAGCGCACACCCGGCATGGTGGTGGCATCTGTACCACAGCATGAAGACCCAGGCATAAGCGTGAATTTGAGGCCTGCTTGGATTACTGAGTGGGATACTGTTTTAAAAGCCCACTGGAATAGGATAGAGGCACGTGCCTGTAATCCCAGGACTTGGGAAGTTTGAGTCTAGCCTGGACTACACAGTAAGTTCCAAGTCATTCAGAACTGCATGTGAGATCCTGTCTCATGTCCCAGACAGAGCTGTGAACTCCTCCTTGGACAGACTGGAAGAAGCAGGGCTCTGAGCACCCCCACCCACCTCGGCTGCTTCCTGTCAGCTTTCGGCTGGCTGTTAACCAGACCCGTGCTCACAGGGGCCCAGGCGTTGATATATTCAGAAGACTGTCACACCAGGCCTGCACTGGTCCTCTGAGGACAGTGAAGAGGAGACTTGCTTGAGTTGACCAGACAAGCTGAGGGCAGACTGGAGCCACCATGCAGACACTGCATTCTGTGGGCAGGAAAAATACCCCACACCAGGATGAGTCAGGGACCTGCCACCAAAACAGTCTACTCTAGAAAGATCAGTACAGACTATTTTTTTCCAGTGTACATTGCATCTTAACACATTAATTTAGGCAGCACAGTCTTTTTCTAGAGTCGGCACGTGGACAACAGTACCAATTTCGTGAGGCCCAAATGTGATTGTTGAGGCGATGCCAGGAGCCTACAGCTCCCGCAGCTTCCTGCCTTGGTAGCACCAGGCTTCTTCCATGGGATGTGCCCACTTTACCCTAAGGAGCCGGCACCATTATAATCCCTGTGTCAAGGCACTCCAGGTACAGAGGGGGTAGTGACATGCCTAAGACCACAGGGCTGGCTGGTGCTACAGCTGAAACCTGAAGCCCAGTGGAAAACCTAGGTGTTTCTGCCTCCCCAGGTCATCACCTAAATGGCTCCTACACACTGGAAACTTCCATGGCACCTCTGCCATAGCTCTGAGTCCTGCATATTATGGTCAGAGGTTGCAAACCACCGAAGAACTTACATCACAGGGTTGAAATGACAGCCCTGCAGACAGGGGGTGGGGCAGGTCCTCCAGGAGTTGTTAGCTGGATAATGGGGTGGTAAGACCACGGAGGCCCAATGAGTCATAGCTAATGGCATAACGTAAGCCAGAGGGACAGGTCCCTGGCACAGCAAGGTCAAAGTTCAAGTCAGTCCCCCATCCAGTGCAAACAATCTATGCAGAAGATGGGAGACAAACCGCACAGGCACTGTTCCAAACACTCCATGCCAGGAGTGTACGGGACCCAAGACAAGGGTCCCCAGATGTGCAAGCAATTGAGCAGAGGTAGGGGCAGTGGTACTTCTGCTCTTGCTGAGGACATGGGGCAAGAGGGACCAGGGACACACAACAGAGGCAGCACAAAGGGTGACCCCCAGACAGCCATAACCCTAAGGCTCTCAGGAGAGGGTGCTGCTCAGCCCCACAGGAAATACAGAAGCCCTTTCATCTTACTGCAAGGCTAGCCAGCAAGAAAGGGCCCGTGTGGGCTTAAGAGGTACACCAGCTGGGCCTGGGGAGATGGCTCATCAGTTAAGCACACTGGCTGCTCTTGCAGGGACCGAGGTTCTACTCCCAGCACCCTCATGGCCCCTCACAACCATCTGTAACTCGAGTTCTAGGGGACTCAATGCCCCCCAAAGACCCAGAACTACGACATTCAGGTAATATACATAAAATAGAATTCTTGGTTTTCTTTCTTCCCAAGACACGGTTTCTCTGTTAGACCTGACTTTCCTAGAACTTGCTTTGTAGACCTGTCTGCCTCTGCCTCCCGAGAGGCAGTACCAGCTTTAGTAACAGTGCACACAGGTGAGCAGATCCCAGAATAGACACCCTTTGTCTGGTAATTCAGAGTGCTAGGGGAGCCCAGAAGGTCATGGGATCCCAGAGACCTTAGACATCTCCTATCCCGACATCTCTTGCCACTTCATTTCCTTGAGGACACTGTGCCCCTAGCCTCAACAGTCCTTAAAAGAAATCTTTGGATAACCGTGTGCTTTGTGCCCAAAAAAGGAAAAGGGCCATTTAACATACATTGGCCACACAAACCCACATTTGCCACAGCGGCGAGCACAGAAACCACCAAGAGCATGAAGAAGTTGGGTGTGGTGACGGACACCTTTCACCACAGTGCGTGGGAGGCGGGTGGATCTGGGTTCTAGGCCAGCCAGGGCTGTGCGGTGAGACATCATCCGACAACGAGAACAGAGTGAGGTCGAGCTCCATTTATTTACAGCCACGGCAGGAAGCAGTCCTCAACCAGTGAACACCCCAAAAAAAGAAATCAAGAGGCAAACCCAACAGGTCCGGGTGCACGCAATGGGGCCAGATTCTCATCCAGTGCACGCAGACCAGTCTTCCAGTCAAATGATCTGAAAATAGAAAGCATACCTCGTTAAACCTCAAATCTCAACATCTAGTTAAAAACACCAGAGACAACCCTCTGTAACACCACTTCCAGGGAATCTGTTACCCTCTTGTGACCTCTGGGGGGGTTACCAAACATTCACACTCATAAAGTAAAGAATAAGTCTTTTTCTTTTCTTTTTTTTTAATCTATAGCGAGGGACTGGAATAGCAGGTCAAAGCTCTGCTTTCGAAGGAAACAAACGGCATCAGTCCTTGCAGAGTTCTGAGCGGTACTCAGTCCCCACAGCGTCAGCAAGAGTCTTGTTTGCAGTATCATACATGACCATCAAACTGCTGCTAAGATGTTCACACCTGTTACTGCAAATTCTAACCCCAGGGAGATGTTCCTCCGAGGTCATACTCTAGGTCAAGGTCGGGCTGTCTGGTACAGGGCTGCACCCACCTCGGGCAGGTTCAACCACACAGGAGCCTTTTCCCAGACCGTCCCCCTCAGGACACTGTACCTCCAGCCTTCACATACCTGGGTCACCCAAGTTGAAGTCACTTTTAAAAACTCTCCTCAGGAGAAAAGAGTTACTGCGTGCTTTCGTCCAGTCGCTGGGGGGCTGTGTATTTCATTTTCTGGGTGGAAAAAGAAAATATAATTCAGTTTAAGCGGATGACCTCGTGCGGCGCCTGCACACAGAAGCCTGTGCACGGCCGATGGGGAGGCCGGGGCACAGCGCCCTCCTGCAACCCCCGCCCATCCCGCGGCCGCGTGCGGGCCCAGGGTTAGCCTTCTCCCCGGAGAGCCCCGGGAGAGGCTTCTAAGTCCCACGAGCGCCTTCTGGAGGGTCCACGGCGCCTCCGAGCCGCGCTACACAGTCTGCGTTGCGCTCTGTACGAGGCACGCGAGTTCTTCTCCCCGGCGGAAGCAGCTCCGCAAATGCATTTCCGGCAGGAAGTGAAGACTTACCATCGAGACGGCCGCTAGAAGGTCACTCTGGGCCTTGGGTCATCCAGGGCGGCCTTAAAGGGGCCGCGTTCTAGCCGCGGTTAGATCCGCTAGGGCACTTCGGGGCGTTGGGACATCCTCTATAGGGGCGCAAGCAGGAGGGACGGACTTCCTACTCCTGGGCGCCAGGAACTAGCCACTATCCCTTTACCAATCACGCAGCCGTGTGCAGGACTTTGGGTCATTGGTACAGACTAAAAAACTGACTTTGCCGAGCCCAGTCAGCCCTGTTGTGGCAAAGGCGGCTGAAACCCAGCCGGTCCTGCTGCCAACCTGTGTGTGTGTGACCTTCCATTTTACTATGAACCCATTGGTGGGATCAAGTGATCCACCGTGAAGTCAGCGCCCTCTTGCTCCAATGGCTCCCCAAAGTCGTACCTCTGAACACAGGACTGTATCTAGAATCAAGCCTTCAACAGAGAGCTCCCGAGGAACATCACACTGTGGTCCAGCAAAGGGCTTGGATCTGTGATGTGGCATCTCTGGGCTAAGACCCTCAACCTCCAAAATGGCATCCAAGTCCTGCATTCAAGCTCCAGGCTTCAATCATCCCAAGGTATCCCAGGGTCCAAATAGAACTTTCCACGAAGTATTTGACCAATTATCCCAGGGCCAAGTCAATGCTGTATAGTAATTTCTTCTGAAACAGCTCATCCAGAAGGAAGCTTGAGAAAGTGGGATCGGGAGGGTCCTTAAGACTCGGAAAATAAGTCACAAGTCTCAAAAAATTCCTGAAGCTTACCAGATTCACAAGGCCCTGCCCTCCTTAGTGAGGAGAGACCCTCCGACCTTGTGGGCACCTTTGGGTTGTCCGTGCTTCTGTAAGTAACCCCAGAAAACTCACCCCTTCATCTGGATGGACTTTTGGTGTCACTGTTACTTTGGAGTAAACATAGTGGGCTCATCTCCCTAGAGAAAGTGTCTCATAGTAATTACCCCTACAGCTGGGGCATTTTATAGTGGCTCCTTCTAACTGGAATCAAGTTTATCTACAGGTCAATAGAGAATGGGGGGGGAGGGAAGGTGAGGGGTACACACTTTATTTTCAGTAAATGGAGAAAATGACCTGCACACATCCTTGCTATGAAAAGAAGGGTTTTGCATGTCTCACTCTGATGTGAATCTAACCACTGAGTACAGACTCTTATTGAGATGGGTCTTGTGGATGTGAAAACACAACTTTTGCCTCAAAGGAAATAAGACAGAATTTATTCTGGAGCCAAATTTGAGTGATCAAATTTCAGGAAACAGAGCCAGGCTACCACAGGCTCCATGTCCCCGCACAGAAGTGGTTTTGTAAGGTTTTTATAGTAACAGAACAAAGAAGGTCTTAAGGAACTTTATAAAAAATGCATCAGTGGAGGGCTGGAGCGTTGGCTCAGCAGTTAAGAGCACTGGTTGTTCTTCCAGAAGACCTGGGTTCAATTCCTCACCCCATCATCTTCAAGTCCAGTCATGTGGGATCCAGCGCCACCTTCTGGTCTCTCTGAGCACATGCACACAAAAGCATTTATATACATAATTTAAAAAAAGAATAAGAAAATGTAAATACATTGGTGGAGACACAAGAGAGGTTGTTGCAAGACGGAGGTGTCTCTCCTAAAGGACTCAGGCGCTGTCCAGTGAGATTCTTAGCTTTTAGATTGGTGGAAACTAGTTAATAGCATCTAAAAGAATTTTTTTCCCTCTCAGTCACAAAAATGTTAGCACTGGCACAGAGGTGGACGAGGGATGGCTACTTAAGAGGCACAAATGAGCCCACGATAAGGTAATTAGCGTCTTGACCGACAGGGTTTCGACTGCAGAGCACCACAGTAATTCCCATCAGCCTCTGCGGGAACATTTCCAGGAATTCTCGGTCACAGTCTGATGTAGCCCAAGCTAGCCTGGAACTCTATATGTGATTGAGGATAACTTTGGTTCCTGATCCTCCTGTTCTGCCTCTCCAGTGCTGGGATTTCAGGTGTGTAGCATGACAGCATGTCTTTTATTCTTGGTGGGAATCTCTTGGTCTGGGAGTCTTGAAGACACTGGGAAGGCATTGTGGGAGAAAGCCCTGGAGGTGTCTAGGCCCCTCCCACCCCGCTTCAATGCCCATACTTACTGTTTTAGTTTCACTTGCCCCGCACTGGTCAACTTCGGTTATTTGGTTTCCTTGCTGGAACAGCCCTGCTTGGTTTTGCTCTGTTTTATCAGCTTATGTGATAATTAAAAATGTACCAGGCTGGCCAGGCAGTGGTGGCACACGCCTTTAATCCCAGCACTTGGGAGGCAGAGGCAGGCAGATCTCTGAGTTCGAAGCCAGTCTGGGCTACAAAGTGAGTTTGAAGACAGACAGGGCTACACAGAGAAACCCTGTGTCGTAAACCGAAAGAAAAAAAGGTAATTAGAACTATTCCAACAACATAAACAGTGGCTTGCGGCGGCGGCCGTTGTGACTGGAGTGGAACTCGGGTCATCCTGGAAAGGAGCCTCCTGTGTCCCTTGGGCTAGTAACACACCAGTCAGTGAGTTATCCCGGGGGACAGAATTTTCCCTCACTGTGTTGCCCAGTCTGGCTGAGAACTCCTGGGCTGGAGCGAATCTCCTGCCTGAACCTCCCAAGTAGCTGGGGTTACAAGTCCCCTGTGGTAGCCACATGGATCGGCTGAACTGTTTCTGCCACGTGGAGCCAGAGAGGGACAGTCCCGAGGTGAGCAGGGCCAGGCAGCCAGAAGCTGCGGAACAAGGGGTGCATTCCACAGCCCTGGGCGCCCCCTCGTGGCGATTCTGAGTAGTGCAGACCTGCCACAATGTGCGGTCTTAGAGGTCACAAACAGGCCAGACCCCAGTCCTGGTCTGTGACGCACTTCAACCTCACTAGAAAAAACAAACAAACAAACAAACAAACAAACAAACACACAAACCAGCCCATCACATCTCTCTGAAATGCGATAAATAACCCACGAGAGGCGTGTGTGTGAGAGAGAAGAGTTTCTGGACCTTCCCAGCTTAGAAAGGTAGGCAGAAACAGTTCAAAAGCACTGGCTGTTCTTCCAGAAGAGCAGGCTTCAGTTCCTGAAACCCACACGGCAGCTCAAAAGCATCTGCAAGTCCAGTCCCAGGAGATCCAGCGCCCTCTTCTGGTCTCTCTGTGCACACAGCATGCACATGGCCCATAGACATACATGCATGCAAAAAGCATTCACGTACATTAAAATTTAAAAGTGAATTAAAAAAATTAAATACATTGGTGGAGACACAAGAGAACCAGTTGCAAGATCAGAGAGCACGCAGGTGCCGTCCGATGACAGTCTTAGCTTTTAGGTTGGTGGAAGCTAGTGAAAAGATTCTAAAATATCCTGATGGGGTCAATGGGAATTCCCAAGAGATTTAACTACCGGAGCCAGAGTTCTTAAGAGTTCTTAACACATGTGAGCCATGTGTTAGGGTTCTCTAGAGGGCCACACTGGTAGAATGGATCTGTATATATCAAAACAGCAGTTGACTATAGTGACTTACAGGCTGTGGCCAGCTTGTCCAGCAATAGCCGTGTCCTGACGGAAAGGCTGGGGGCCCAACAGTTGTTCAGTCCATGAGGTTGGACATCCCAGCTGGTCACCAGTATGCTTTGAAATCCTAAAGAAGCAGGTTCTAACTCCAGGGAAGGGATGCCTCAGCGCTAGGGTAGATGAATATGCCAGAGTAAGTGAAAGCAAGCAGGCAAAGTACCAAAGCTTCCTTCATCCATGACATTTTATGTGAGTTGCCACTGGCAGGTGTGGACCAGATTTTAGGGTGGGTTTTCCCACCTCAAATGGTCCAATTTAAAAAAAAAATCCCTCACAGATGTATCCAGCGGCTTGGATTTTAGTGGATTTTTAGATGCGGTGAAATTGGCAACAGGAAAGAGGTGTCCCATCCCATCCATAAGCAGTGGTTGAGCTGTGGAGTTTATGTAGGCGTTTGAGGGATTTAGGCCGGTGGTGTGCTTCCTGCACAAGGCTCTTTCCTAAGAGCTGCAGAAATGGTTCCTATTTCCTGAAGGGGAGGCTGCAGGCGTCAGTGTCTCTGCTGCAGATGCGGGGTGCATGGAGGGGTCTGCAGAGTGCCCTGCAGCTACAGAGCATTGTCTGCAGGAGGGCAGGTGGCTATTGGGTGTTTGTGCAGAATACCGATGCTGTGTGATGAGGGTGTGTGTGCTTGCCCTGGGGACCTCACAGAGGGCATGACCCAGGGGTCATAGGCTCAGTCACCAGCCTTGAATCCTCACCCTGACTGTAGGAGTTTGTACCCTTGTGACTGCAGCTCCTAAAACTTGTTTTTATTCATTTATTTTTTTAGGTACTGGGTTGGAACCTAGGGCTTTTTGCATTTGAAGCAAACACCCCCCTTCCCAATCCCCATCCCATACCTGCCACCTTCCCAAGACAGGGTTTCTCTGTGTAGCTCTGGCTGTCCTGGAACTCACTCTGTAGACCAGGCTAGCTCCTGGACCTTCTGTTCATGTTTAAAATTTTTAAAGTAGCCAGATGAGATGGCTCAGCAGGTAAACCTGCTTGCTGTCTCCATCCCCAGAGACTCACATGAGGGAAAGAGAAATGGTTTCCCTCAAGTTGTTCTCTGACCTTCCCACGCATGCCGTGGCATGAATGCATAAACATTCTCTCCCCTCTTTAAGTAAGTGACACATCCCCATCTCATTCTTTGAGATGGAGGTTTCTCACTGAGTCACCTGGACTGACCAGTGAGTCCCAGACATCCTCCTGTCTCTACCACTGTAGTGCTGGTATTCCAGGCAGTGGTGGTTTGAATAAGAATGGTCTCCCTAGGCCATATTTGAATATTTAGTTCTCAGCTGGTGGAACTGCTTAGGAAGAAATAAGAGGTGTGGCCTTGTTGGAGGA